AATTTCCTTAAAATATATTTCATCACCTGCACTTGTGCAAATTTGATTGTTGGACATCTACCTCCTGCTTTTTCCAAAGTCGGTACTGAACTATACGAAAACTGCCGATCGAACCAAAGTGTCGACAATATTCTTCTTGAACAGAATAGACACGAACTAAAATGCTTGGATGGGATTTTTTTATTTTTGAAAATAATTCGAACAAAAATTTTTTCCAACAAAATAATAACAGAATTTTTGAAGAAATGAGAGAATTAGAAATCAATTACTTCAATTGATTTGCTATAAAAAAAATATATGGAACTAGAGGTCCCTTCTATAAATTTTCAAATGCCTTTTCGAATGGATACATCTTTTGTATGGACCATTAGATCACATATTTTCATATGTAATGGTCTATATTGCATCCTATCAAAATATCATAACTTTTCTAATTCACACCTATAAATAATTAACCATTTATTCCAACAATTATATATTTCATTATTTTCTTTTTCTTTACCATGGATTGATTAAAGATTTTCTTTAATTATCTGTTTGGCATGACTTTTAAAAAGTCAAAATGAGCTTTTGAGATTCAAAAGTTACTTTTGGACCCGTTTAACTAATTTTATGAAAACATTTTCTATAGTTAGAACTTTAAGAAGAAAATATTCCAATGTAGCTTCATCTAAAGCACTTCCGAAATACAAAGTACTTTTAAAAATTAGTTTATAAATAAAAATAATATAACTTCTTTCGAAAGCTCTTCTATAAAAAAACCAAAAACAAAAATCATGTCAAATGGGCCATATCTTTGCACAGATTACATTCACTTGAGATTCCTAGATTTTTTTATTACAGTGGGTCGATTAAACTTTCAAGTAGAGCCGGACAAAACTTTCGAACCGAATCGGACCGAACTCAACTCGAACCGAATCGAACCGAACCGAACCGGTTCTTCTTAAATTAAATACTCGAATAGATATCTGAATCGAGAACCGGCGAATTTGATTCGATTCTCAATTCTAGATCAAGAACCAAATAATCGAATAATAACCGAATCTCCCTAATTTTTTTAATTTTTTATCTTAAATAAATCAAATTATTATTTTTTAAATAAATTGCTAACTAATTAATTTAGTCCAAACAAAAATTATAATTTTTCTATTTCTAATTTGCAGTCAAGCCCAACTTAATCAAATTGATCGAAATTTGACCCAAATTTCTTATTCTATCATAGTGTCGTTTCTACCTTTCTATTATTGTGAACTAACCATCCTCTTCTTCCTATAATTTTAACAATCAAATCTACAAAAAATATCACGAGATTAGATTACGTTATTTTGTAAAAGTTAAAATTGAAAATGTCATAATCAAATTATGTAACATTATTATAATATAAAAAAATTAATTATTGTACGGAACCTCAAAATCGAATATAACCGAACTCGAACCGTTCCATAATTAAATTTAGACCCGACGGTTCCATTTATTAAATACCCTAACCAAATCAGACCATATACAACCCTACTTTCAAGCATCTCAAATCTCAAGTGAACGTAAGCTTTATCT